TGTCGTGATCTAACCTTAGGGTTGTTAAACCAAACATGAATGCAATTCCAACTTCACCCTAGATTTCTACTAACCTAAAGTCACTACTGTATACATGACGTAACTTCTTATGCATAAATAATCATTTAAAATGTCTTCCTAAAATAATGTCATGGACTTACATGTTTTTTAAAAAAAAGTTTTTAAAATAATACAAAAGAAATATTAAATAAACCAAAGTAAATATTAAAAATAACAATGTCCTAGACTACCATAAAATCTAAGAAATTAAATGTAATTATCCTATGTATGTGTCATGGTTTTTACTTGTGATACCGTCGTCAACTGTACATGGGTGTCTTGTCTTTACTTGAAATGTAGAAATAGCACGTGGCTTGAGTGTTTTAAGAAATACTCAGTAAGTGACTCTACTATTGGGATTAAGAAATGCAACCATATGTAATCGTGATTAAGGACATATCATTTAAAACCATCATAGAGGTGGCCTTAAGTACGGACAAATTATATGTGTAGTACTTCTCTACATAAGACCCACACGTGCGAGCGTGAATCTACTAGACGATTTGCACACCCCCTAGACCCATCATAGTCGGACTAGTTGGTTGTAGCCGTATGTCGATCATACCATCATATCATTTGACATATCATATAATGGCACATTCATAACATGAAATTACACACATGGCACATGCAAGGCCATTGGCACCTATTATCATGCATTAAACACCTCTAATAGTGAACTTGTCTAAATTGACAGGGATCCGCATTTGTAGTTGTATGATTTATGAGTTGGTTTAATAGAGTTGAGCCTTGAGATGAACAAAGTTATAGAGTCATGTGAGTGAGTAGTGAGTGCTATTAGAGGATCTACAACCATTTTCTAATCATGATCTTGTTCGAATGAGAGTAAGGGACCACATAGGTAGATTAATATTGGCAAAATTATGTCTCGAGTATCTATGATATTTAGGTTTATGATAGCAAGGGACTAGTAAAAACCTAATCAATATACCTTAGAATCCAAAGATAAAACATGGGTAGTAAGCTCAAAAGTCAAATATGGAGAACTAATTGCCGAGATAGGGTTAAGCAAAGAGAATTTTATGGGTTCTTCGTCACTGCCCTAAGTTGAGCTTGGGTGACTCAAGCCAACCTACGGATAGCCTAAGAGAGCCTATGACTTGAAATAAAACTTCGAAAGACGAATAAGATATTCAAACAACCTAATGATCTAAAGGACATAAAATTTAAGAAAGAACAATGAACTAACAAGTAAGCTACTTATTGAACTTTTTATACTCGTTCATGCTACCTTATTCTTTTTAAATGAAGGTTAGGCAAGGTGGTCAAGGCGAGGGCATGCACGAGTTGTGTAGCTATAGAGGTCAAGATAGATATGAGACTCTTGATTTTCGACTCAGCTCCGGTTTTCATGTATCTATTTCGAGTATGTACTTTTGTATAATTGTCTCAATCGTTTGGTACCATTTTAGCTAATTTGTAATTAATGCAGGCACGTTTTTCATTGTTTTAAATTATCATACTTTTTCAAAAATTTGATGTTAGTTAGTGACCGTTCATGACTCAAGCCTCTCGAAAAACTGTAAAAAATTGATAAATAATATTGTAATTACAAACGAAGAATTTGAGATGTAATTAATTAATTGATTTATTTAAGGGATACATACAACAAAATCTTATTTAAAATAATGAATAAAATAAGAAAAACGTGGGTTTGGCGTGATTAAATGCCACACGTTAATCATTTGGCGTGCTCCAATCTCCAAAAATGCCTGCTTAATCCTTACTTCTAATTTCTACCCTTTTTTTTTTTTTTTAATTACTTTCGACTTGTCGTCTCCTCTCTCTTTGCCAACTGCCTTCTGCCTTACTCATCTGTCAATGTCGTCTTCAATTTGTCTTGTCGTCCTCTTTTCTCATTGGTTTATTCTCATTTGTTTTCCATTAATGGATTATTTAAATAAAACAAAATTTTTTACTTCTACCGCTAAATTTGGGACAAATTAGGAAACATTTTTTTTTGCGTTAAATATATATATATATATATATATATTACTATATTAAAAAAATAAATTATGTTTAAAGATTATATTATGATATTAAAATTTTAATTTTTAGAAATTATGTTAGATACAATATTTTATATATAATTATATAATTTTATAATTAACAAGATGGATTTTGTTCAACTTAATCTAGATTTACCCGAATTATTATTTTTTTAAGTAATTAAGTTTTTTAACAATAAATTAATGAGCGAGTAAATTCTAGAACATGTAAAAAAAATTAATATTACATTGCTTACTAAATGAAAATGGTTAATTTTTTAATAATAAATTATTAATTGAAAATAGTCAGTTATTTTTATTAAAAATTTAATTTTCACTTCTATAATTAATTAGAAACTTCAAAATCATTATATTATATAAAATTTCTTTAAGATTTCGTGTAAAGGAACAAAAAGATAATTATAAAGTTAGTTAAGCAACCATTTATTTTAAATCTAAATAAATTGCGTTAATATATAATAAAATAAATTTACGAAAATGACCTTTATTATGCATTTTCTAATACTTGTATATTCTTCAAGAAATTCCGTTACGAAGATTGAATGAAAAATAATATACTGAGTACAATCAAATTTGACTAATAGAATTACTATATACATTTGGATAAAACTCAACTATATGTATTTCATTAATAATAAATATTAAAAATTGAAATTCGAAAAATTGGTAAATTTAATTTCAAATTTAAAAGGTTTTTTATATTATTTACCCCTATAAATTATTATAGGGGTAAATAATATTTATCGCGAGAAAAAATATTAAAATTTTTTCTTTAAAATTATGTTTATGAACGTTACAGATGTTATATAATCGGGACGATAAACTTCAATTTATTCAGAGAATAAAAGAATAAATGGAGAAAGATTTCCCTCTATTAAATAAGGTCGGAGATAGAAATTATATTTTTCATCATCTTCCTCTCTCTCACTTATATATTTATATTATATTTCGCGGTATATATATATATATATATTAATTACATGAATTTTTTTAAGGGTTGAAATTTAGAAAATTATATATTTTTTTATAGTAAAATATTATTGGATATGGATATATTAGAATGTTTTATATTTTCATTAGAAATGGCATTAAAAAATATAAAAATGGAGAAAATTAATATTAAAATAAATAGGAGTGATAGAGATAAAACAAAGAAGCTTCTACATGCTTTTTCCTTAATAATAAAGAGAGTGAAAAATAATAATTTAAATTGAAAGTAAATGATGATAATATTATAATATAATATTTGGGTAAGCATCAAATCAATGACAACTCGAAAGAATGATGTGTGGCCAATAAGGAGATTGATTATATATAATAATGATATTATGCACATCAATGGGACAAATTTTCCACATATATTATTTGTATGTTGTTTATGAACAACCATCATGCCTATTGTTTCTCAATGTTTCCCTGTTATATTTTAAAGAAAAAAAAAAATTAATGATTAAGATTATTATCGGTGGTCTCTAACCGTTTAAACTTACTAACGTGTCTGTTAGATGTTTTCCTCAACCATATGGGATCTCACAATCCACTCCTCTTCGGAGCCCAACAACGTTTCTTTCTCCAATTGACGTGGGACCTCTTATCTACTCATGCCCATCTCCTTTATCTTATTTGAACTTTTCCTTTCAAGCTTCTTCTCAAGGTTTTTAAAACGAGTACCAGAAGTTTTCTTCAGCCATGTGGGATCTTAGATTATCTTTATCATATTTGCTGTAAATCTTCTAAACTAATCAAGATCTTAGTCCAAAGTGAGAAAATTTTGGCGGGGTGAGTCTTCTTCAAAACCAATCAGGCTAAACCCATGTTAGGTTTGAACCGACGCGCTTCAGATCAAGTCAAGTCAAGTCATCGGTTTCTTTCCATTAGATTCTTCTCCATTGTCATTCTCAAAATTTTGCTCTTTCATATCTTAGTAAATTTGATCGATTAGGTGGGTGAGTATAAAATACAAATGGAAAGGGGAGCAAGGTTTGTAAATGAAAGAAAGAAAGGAAAAAAGGGTAAAAGTTTCCAATTTTATTGGGCCATAGAACATTAGTAGGTGTAGAGGTAGATAAGATGATTAATTAAATATTACATGTGGGATGGAATTAATGGGATGGAATTAATACCAATTACCCCACATTTTATTGCAACTTCTAAGCCATTGCTACCCACTTTGTTGAATTTTCATGTTTAGGGCTTTCATTTTCTTCCCTATACGGTCCCATTCTCTTGTGCCTTCAATGCCCATGTCCCCTTCCCTTCATACATTTTGCTCCCTACATAAAATCATTAGCTTTCCTCTTAAATGATTTTAAAATTTCTAACCAAACTCTTCCTAGTTCAACCGTAAATGATGATATTGGAGCCTCAGCTACGGTAGATAAGCACGACTCTCCACAATAGTATGATATCGTCCACTTTAAACATAAACTCTCATGGCTTTGTTTTATGGTTTTTCAAAAGATCTCACACCAATGGAAAGAGTATTCTTTGATTATAAATTCTCTATATTAGTGATATGAGACTTATATCATCTAACAATCATAGTTCCAATTTCACGGTGCCACCATTCATTACCTCACATTTATTTATCATCACATTCCTTTCGAAAAAGATACTATTTATAGTATTCTTCGCGAACAATAGACACCCATGTCAGTGGTATCCATATTTGTGTGACAGTAACTACCTATCATTCATAGCAATTATGACAAAGACCATAGTTTCCTTCCCTTCATATAATTTAAAAGACAATCAATTAGGCAATTTATTTCAAACAAAAAATTTAAAACAGTATGGTTTTAGGTCGAAGCCACGATTGGTGGATCAAATCTTTCTTAATCTTGAGTTATATGCAATACCTATCAACTAAGCATTACTCAATAGCAATTGGAAGGTATAAGGAAGATTATATGAGTATCTCGTAAAACTTTGTTTTCTACTCAAGTTTTAAACAGTTGAGGTGCTCCTAGAGTGTGGAGATGTACCAATTACAAGTCTATTTCAAATAAAATGTTGAATCAAATTAAATCTATGAGGAGAAGAAGAAGAAGAAAACAATTCATGTTCAATTCATGTTCGTGTGAGAGAGCCAAAGCCTTTGGAAAAATTACGCTGCAGATTGGAATTGAATCCCAAACAGCCCAAGAGGCCATGTTTGTACGGCAAACTCGTCTTCCTCTTCAACTCCTCTGAAACTGCTCTGTTCGTTTTGTAGTGTAATTCATGAGCCGAAATCGATCCTCTTCTTCTCGAGCTCGATACCGAACTCAGGCTCTCCACCGACCGGAAGCTTGAGTTCTTCATCTCCTCCACTGCCTTCTTGTCAGTCGCTCGTCCTTCCGATGCGCTGCGGAATAGTAGCAGATCTCGGATTCTCCATCTTCTCTGGCCTCTGGAGAACGAGAATGCGGAGAGGAAGGATGCGGATGAGGAGATCGACTGTTTGTGGTTGCTTGTGGCGGAAGGTACGGCGGATTTCGCTTCCATTTCTTGCTCGGAATCGAGTATGATGTCTGAGACTCGGAGTGGAGATAACGATCGGCTTCCAGTGCGTCTAATGGATGAAGACGACCGCGAGGTGCCGGTGCTCGTCGTTCTCCCTCTACCTCGATTTCGCTCGGTATCGGCGACTGCGTTTCCGTCGGTTCTCCGTGTTGTCGTCTTGAAAGCCTCCTCAATCGGATCGGAATCTCTCTGACGGTGGTGGCGAGGAGACAAACCTTCCTGAACTATTCTCTTTCCCTGTAGAAACACAGACGTTCAATGAAATTGGAGGAGGAGAAAAAAAAAAAACAGAGAGATCAAAAGCAGAGTTCTATTCTCGATTCAGCGATGAGTTTCTGTCTTACCTGTTCGATTTTCGACGATCTTGTTGATATCGGCGACGTCACATTGGAGGAAACGGAATCAGCCACTCGATGACACAGCGAAGGCTTCAGAGCCCTAATTTTACCGCAATCGAAGAGCTCTTCAGCGGACAAAGAAGTCCGTTCCAACTGTCCACTAAAATCGAATTCAAAATCCTCATCAGCAACACTACTACAATCATCGCCTCCAGATTTCACAATTCCAGGAATCTCCTCCCACAGCAAGGGGATCTCCGAAGCCGACGAGCTCCTTCCGCCGCCGTCGTCGCCGTAGCCAGAACCAAACTCATGGAAGTCATAGTAGAATGCAGCGGCACGTGAGGGAGAGGTGGGAGCACTGGAGAAGAAGAAGGTGCCGAAGCGTTGAGGACTGGAAGGGGCGGTCATGTAAGGGGAAGAGCAGGCGCTGTCGAAGTTGAAGTCGACGGGAGTAACCGGAACCGCCACTTCCATTGTGAACGGGGGGGAGGAATCTCCGAGGTCCGGATATGGAAATGGATCAAGGTTAGGTGGAGAAAGAGGAAACAGAGAAGGATTTATAACAATGGGGGAAGGGGAAGATGATTTGGGGAAGAAGACGAAGATCAGACAGGAAAGAGAGAGGAAGGAGAGAGAGAGTGGAAAAAAATTGACTGAGATGTGAGAGAGAGAAAACATGATTTGGAATTTGTAAGAGAAGCCGCCTTATAACAAATCCTGTCCCCACTTTTCAAAATGTGACTTTATTATTATCTTTTTAAAAAAATTTTAAAATATATTTTTAGTAAATTATAGAAAATACAAGAATTTAAAAAAATAATTAAAAAATTAAAAATTTTATTTTAAGTTTTGGGGGGAAAATATTAAAATTAAAACGTAATTTTTTTTTCTCCTTAAAAAACCATATTAGCATTTATCATAGATTAAGAGGTCAAACTTTCAAATTCTCGGGTCGTTGACCTCAAAAATACTTCTAGTATCAATCAATCTTTTCATTAATTAAGTGGGTAACTAAATTAAACTTTACTAGAATTTAAGCTCCGAGACTCTACTTTGGCTCTTCCATTGGTTCCTCTGATGCTCCGAGACTCCACCTTGGCTCTTCCATTGGTTCCTCCAAATCAATAGGCTCATTTTTCTCATATCACGCCCACATCATTGAGAGAGGTATTTAAGTACATAGATGAGGTGGTTTGTAAACGGCCCAGATCCACCGCTAGTAAATATTTGTCATCTTTGGGCTTTCCCTTTCGGACTTCTCCTCAAGGCTTTAAAACAGGAAGCTCGAAAGGGAAAGCTCAAAGAGGACAATATCTGCTAGCGGTGGATCTAGATCGTTACATGGTTTCAAGAATGGAAGTCAATACTTGGTATATCGTGAGCTACAAAAATTTTCTTCCACCTAAATCTCTTTGCAAACATTTTTGTCTAGAGTTTATAAGAATAACTTGCGAGTCCTGCTCATTTAAGAAATATAAAGGAGGTATGTGTCCACTCAATCTACTAAACACATGAACTCAATCAAAGCTCGCTCCTATTAACGACGGTCACAACGTTCATCAGATGCATTAGACGAGCTTTTGATTCAAAATATTCCCATTTTGTAGGAAAAGATTTTATTTTCCAAATCAATTGGATTAATGCAAATATAAAAGCATGAATTAATATTTTATTGGATGATGATGAGAGTAGTTGTAAAGTGAAAAGACAAGGCTCCAAACTCATAGCCTACTTTTAACTGCATGCCACCACCACATCTTCATTTTTCTTACTTTGGGACCTTCATCTTTGACTTTTTTGTATCATTCTTTCCATACATTTTTACCTTTTGGCTCACACAAAACAAGCCCTTCTTTCCTTCTTAAAATTTGTTTTTTTTGTTAGCATGTGGGTTGGATCGCGAAATATGATAAAGTTTTGTGTTCGAATTGGGTTGGGAAAATCTTTTGGACCAATCTGCAAATTCGAGTAGGTTAAATTAGTGATCCGAGCAACCCGAGAGAGCTTACAACCCTACCTAACATTTGAGTTGGATTGAGTTGTCGAGTTGTTCTTTTTTTAATTACTTAAAAAAATCTTATCATAAAGCTCAAATATCAAACATTCACAATTTACAAAGCATCACTATCATCAATTACAAACGTCAAATAAGTTGATTGGGTTATTGTGAGAATCTCACATTAGTTGGGAAAGAGAACGAAACACCTTTTATTAAGGGTGTGGAAACGTTTCCCTCCTATTCTTGTTTTAAAATCTTGAGGAGAACCCTAATAGGGAAAGTTCAAAGAAGACAATATCTGCTAGAGTTGGACTTGGGTTTGAGTCGTTATAGTTATAACCTTATTTTCAGGTTGATTGAGTTGACCCAACCCAAAAATTCAAAAGTTAGTCTGATTTTTGGATCATAAGCATCCATACACGATGAAACCGAGGTGCAATGATGAAAAAAAGACAAGGATCGGAAACCATGCCACAAAAACGTGATGCATCTATTTTGAAACAAAAGTACAAACAAACCAAAAGAAAAAAAGTGAAAGGTTTGCTAGCTTCAAAATTGAATATCATCTCAATATGCTTATATTCATCCAATTTATTCTTTGTACCCTCGTTTTCTTTTCACACTCTAAGATTCGACACAAATGGTCTATCAACTTTTCTCTTACATTGATTTTATTATATTCTCAAACTTTACACGTGACATTTAAGGTTAAAAAGATAAGTGTGACTATTGACACAATATAAAGAACGACAAGCAATAAACTTCTTACAAATAAACAAATAAATTTGTAACATACGTATTACAATGGATGGATACTACTGCTACTTACTAGTCATGCAACCAAGGATCGTAATTCTCGAACAACCAATCAAAATGTTGGAATGGAGATGCATGAAGCTAGAGTGTTACATACAGTTCCTTTGAGATAGGTGTGATATTACAACGAACGGTCCATAAAATTGCATTCCTAGTCATCTGGTTCGTGCAACTTGATTTTAAAGCTTTACAACTAGAGAATAAACTTAATTTGAGAGATGGTGACATAAAGGTGGGATAAAAACCTAGGTCTCTCAATATACTAAGTTGACAAGGAAGCATGGGTAAATATTATAAACTTCAAAAAATTGTTTATATATTTTTTACAAAAATGTGGGTCTAATTTGTAACTATAAAGTAGGTATGTAACGACCCAAATCTACCGCTAGTAGATATTGTTCTCTTTGGGCTTTGTCTTTCGGGCTTCTTCTCAAGGGGCGTCTGCTCTGCTAGGGGAAGGTTTCCACACCCTTATAAAGGGTGTTTTGTTCTCCTCCCCAAACAAATGTGGGACATCACAATCCACCCTCCCCCCTTAGGGGCCCAACGTCTTCGACACTATTCCTTTCTCCAATCGATGTGGGACTGCCATCAAATCCACCCTTTTAGGGCCCAACGTTCTTACTGGCACACCACCTCGTGTCTACCCTCCTTTGGGGAACAGCGAGAAGGTTGACAACATCGTCCGGTGTCTGGCTCTGATACCATTTGTAACGACCCAGATCCACTGCTAGTAGATATTGTTCTATTTGAACTTTTCCTTTCGAGCTTCCCCTCAAGATTTTAAAACGCGTCTGCTAAGGGAAGGTTTTCACACCCTTATATTATAAGGGTGTTTTGTTCTCCTCCCCAATCAATGTGAGACATCACAATGTAATTCGATCCTGAACCGGAGCTCTATAATTATTGGAGTAAGTAATAATAATAATAGAAACAGCAAAATAGATCAAGATTTTGAGTTCACACTTATAAAGATTTGTAATTATATATATATCATAAAGAATGTGTTTTTAGATGAGGTCAATAACACGAGGGCATAGACGGGGGGCTTTGGTTGTTGGTGCCTAAAAAGTCCACATTTTCGGCCCAACCTGGCCGTTTTTTTTTTCTTTTTAAATTATATATTATAAAGTTTTATTTTCTACATGATATGATAGGTTAGGACGATGTGATATACGATGATGCGATGATACATTATGATGAAGTAATATGATATGATGACATGAGATATACGATGATATGAAATAGTATGATGATATCTCATACGACGATGATATGTACGTATGAGATGTCATGTTGCATTATGATCAAGAGTTTTCTGATACACAATCCCTAAGTGATGTTACGAATGATGAATGTATGAAAACTGATGCATGCATGTTATCTAGAGTAATATATGAAGGATGTGTGGAGTTCTGTCATATGAATGATTTAAGACACAAGTGTAGGGACCTCATACATATTGTATGTTCATTTACATCAGAATACTTCCCCTTTTATGATGAGTACGAATGCGTACACTATGATGATAATGATGATGATGATTCTGCTTTGCATGATATTCGAGGGTTTGTCGTGCCTCCAGACGTTCGACTACAACCAACTAGCCTGACCATGTAGGCCCAATGGGTGTGCGAGCCTGCCTGGTAAACTCATGCTCGCACGTGTGGATTGTGTATAGAAAAGTACTACACATCCAATTTTTTCAATTTTTACTCGTTACTTAGAATCAATTAAATAAATATTATTTAAACAATAAAATTAAAAAACAAAAACCATTTTCTTTTTTATTTTTCATTCCTTATTATCATCTTGTTTATCCCTCTTTTTCAATTTTTTTTTTTTCATCTCATGTTCGAATTTTTTTTCTTCTTGCTCGATGATCGAGTAATTTCAATAGAGAGCGATAGAAAGAGATCGAAGAGCTCATGTCTAGAATGGTGGCAATAAGTTAGAAGACTTTTTTTGCTCCTAAGCTAAAATGAAATCGACTATTTCATTCATAACATAAATTATTAATATAAAAAGTCACATCGTAATTATTTATTAACTACTACTTCATAATTAAGCAACGACGACAAAAAAGTCTTTGTTGAGGATATATATTAATTGAGTTAGGTTCGTACAAACTTACATCTCACTTGAGAGCTATTTTTTAAAAAATAAATTGACGTGAAAGTAATGAATAGAGGTTAGCTTAACAAAATTCATGTTTGATTGACAGTTTTATAAATCTAAGTTCGACACATACGGATCCATGGCTTTTATGCGATACCGCTGTGAACTGTACACTGGTATCTTGTCTTTACCTTAAATACAAGAGTCGCACATTACTTAGTATTTTAAGAAATGCTCAATAACACAGCATGAATTTGGACCTATCATTTAAACCCATAGTCTCTTAGGTGGCTTCTCGTTCGAACAAATTGGATGTGTAGGAATTCTCTACACACGACCCACATGTGTGAGCGTGGGTCCACTAGGCTATAGCCGGACACCCGGAGGTACAACTACAAGGACCGTCGTGCACCATGTCAAGTATGATGATCATCTCATCCTCATAGTGTATGCGTTTGTACTCATCATAAAGGGAAAATATCCCGATACATGTGAACCACAATTATGTATGAGGTCTCTATACTTTTCATCTTAAATAAGTCATGCGACACAACTCATTCATTCTTTCTAATTACCCTAGGTATATGCATGCATAAGCTTTCATATATTATATCATTCGTAACATTACTTAGAGGTTGTGCATAAAAAAAAACTCTTCATTTCCATATATGTCGTAGCATGTCATACATTTCATTGCCAAGCATATTTATGTCATAGTACAACATGACA